GATATACTCAAGCTAAGAAGTAAGATGAGCAGAATTCAAACAGTAAAGTCAAGAGTATCACATTGAAGAAACAGTAAACGTGTGTGAATTGGTAGTGATACGTATAAACTACAAGATTGTCGAAAACAAAAGAAAAATCGCAAAGGCTGTAATCAGTCTAGGGTTAGATCGACAGCTGTTCTTTTAATGAATACATAAGTTGGCTTTCAATTGCGTAGTAGATACGGTTACAGGCAAACACAACAAGTTTTAGTCCACTTGTATATTTTGCTTGGAGCCCATTTGCTAATAGATGCCGAACAATTCGATCCAATAAAACAGTATAGAATTACAAGTATATCAATAAATAATCATACACTTGTATATTAGTTTAAATGATTTCTGTATATTGATTACATGTTCACTAACCGTACAGCTACGAGTGATTGATCTGTTCATGACTTTTACACCTCTCGGTCGTAAACTCATTAAAATATGCTCAAACCTGAGACTACAAACTTTCCTCTCTGCTTGTTCACTGGAGAACTTTTAGCACGTACACATGAACTAATATATGCAATTGCATTTAATGCAATTTCATAGAATGAATGTAGTTAAAAACACTTACTTAAGGGAAATACATACGTTCAGATCTATATTACTCGCGAGATGCATCAGATGCGTACTTACACCAAAGTCAACGAAAAAAGTGTGGCTAGATTACATTAGAGTTGACGGTAATGATTATTGCTAAAAGATAGAATAATCATTTACTTTGTTTGTCAAATACTAAACTGTCAACATATCAGCCAGTGAAGCCGCTTTTTGACTTAAGATCTCTTGTGAAATTGTTTAACAGAAGTAAAATCTATAGTGCAAGAACGGTTTGGGAAGGTTAATAAAAGCCGAATAATGTCTTAGAAACGGTATACAAAGAGCTTTAGGAACAATTCAAGGTAAAACGCTCATAGTAAATTTAACCAGATAAACGACCGGTCTGTACTGTCTAAGAATCGTTGCAGTAAATTTACAGCATCCAGAAAGATAAAGTCCCGGTGCCGTCTTGATAAACAGCCAAAATTACATTGTTATCTTCAGTAACTAGGATTGCATTTATTCCGGATCATTATATGTTTATGCAACTACATGTTATCCAGGAGGAGTACTGTTAGTAATCATCTTGATTTCATGAGGATAATAACATAACGTCAGTTCACAGTCATCGCATAGATTGTACTTCTAACTTTCATTAGAATGAGGGAAATATGAAATCAACTGAAAACGACCTCCTATTGAATTACTAGTGACTGACTAACTGGTGATGCATTTGTATTTGTTTCCTTTGTAGGTTTAAGTCAATACTGAAAATGTGTATTTATAGCTGTATGAAAAAACTTAAAGCACTATTCTATACACTTAAAAGTATTGAACATATCATTACTTTAAGTAACATTTTTTTGAAGAGAGCATAAATATGTGTGAAGTGACAGGTGGACTTAGAGAAGAATATTCATTTTATTTTAAACATTATATTCTATAGGTTCACTGGTCTGTGTTAAATGCCAGTTGAACGATTTTTCATATCATGTATATTGATCGTTGCATGAATAGTAATGCCTTGTCATATCTGATTCTAGCAACAGAAAATCAAATGAACACAATTAAATCATATTTTATCTTCACTGAGTATCTGTACATTGATTAATTTATTTACTTATTCCATTGTTGATACCTTTTCCATTAAGTGATTGTTTAAATACTTGACATTCATTTACAGATAAATAAAACTTAAGTGATTTCTTAATTAACCTGTGAATATGAACTGAACCGATAGAGTAGTAAATTGCCATAGAAAAAGTATCAGCTACTATTAGATGATAGTAAACTATTAGTGTTAACAATACTGGTATCACATAGTAATAATAAAAGGTGGAATGAAAACGTGGGTCGTGAAGAGATTCGAACTATTGATCTGTGAATTACCACCACTAGAATCACTTCAGAGCATTATAAACTGAGCTAGAAGATTCACTAGTGACCAGGTCTTCATTTCAATCGTCAAGTGTATGCGTTTATATCAAGTAAACGTGTGGCACTTAACTATATGCTTATCATGATCACAGTAGCGTTTCGCTGAGACCATCCCATTGTTTTCTAAATTGAGCTAAATTAGACAAAAGGTATGTCAGAAGATAACTGCTGTGATTTTATAGACTGGTACTTCTGATACACGGTGATGATCACGAGTACAATGAAAATGTAGCTAGTGGCAGGATTCAAATTAATGCCTCTCAGATTATCGACTAGGCATTCTACCACCCAAACGACAAATGCCAGCTGCTATCCTTGGTTAAATAACATTTATCAACTTTAAATAGTAATAAAACCAGGGTGATATCCATTGTTTAATTTTGTAGTTTATAATACTTTTCATACGAGAAAGACTGATTTTCTCCTAATAAACACGCAAAATTAAAATTTATCAGAAGCATGCTGTGTTTACTGTAACAGTATCATAATCCCTGTCCAAACAAAACATGTTGAGGAAAAAAAAATACTGTTTTCAGTCAGGTCCTGCTTATGTCGTAGTCAATAATAACAATGTTACATATAATGTAATTATGAATAATGATAATATCAGGGCGGATAGGAATAACAATAATAGCAAAACACTGAGCGTATATATTTTAATTATTGAACAAGGTCAAAGCTTGGAAGAGCACCAAAGTTATTGAACATCGAAAGAACAAAGGGATTAGATACATAAAATGCGAATGTAAATGTAATAGAGATATGAAAGTTGGGAAAAAAAGAATGTAGAAGGATATTTGGAAACAGGAATAGGTAAAGTGATTTAATAATTTCTTCCTGGTTGAGATATGGAATGAGAAGTTCAAGATTTTGTATTTGAATTCTCATAGGTTCAACTACATGTAGATGAAGAAATTCAACTTCATTGTGCCGATTCGGTGAAAAGTTAAGTGTTTCACTATGCTTACTATTTGATTACTATCCAACAGATGGGAGGAAGTAGGTTTATGAAGATTTCACTTGTTCTTTTCCCAATCACATAGACATATGCTTCTTGATATGTTAGTTTAGGTGCCTAGTGGAAAGCTAATTTATAAATATCTTCATGGAAGTGGGCATAATATTGAGTAACTTGGAAAAGGGTAAGTGTAGTTCATTTAATCGGTAACATTTACTACTTTGACATCAGTATAATCTACATGATGGTGGTAAACACTTTTTTCATCTTATACGAGACATCAACGGAACAAAGCTGCATCCAGGTGAGTATCAACAAGGAATAATCGTACATTAAATAAGTAAGACTATCTTAAAAGGCACTATCACTAAGATACCCTTTGAAAATGAGTTGTGTGATGGCTGTTTTAACTACTTGAACACAAATACTTTTCTCCAAAATAATTTCAGGTAAAAGCATGTATTTACACATTTGAGGGTGATTCTCCCACAATGTTTCTCATAACTAATGTTCACCGTATGTACTTTTTAACAAACTTATGCTTCAAATAACTTTCACTTTTCCAAATTTTAAGCAGGTATTCTCATTTACTGACTTTCAAAAGGATACGTTTACTATGTTTAAACAAGTGATACCAAGAACTTGACTCTACAAGGTCAAAGAACAATTATTTCCTCCTACTCTGACAGTCCCCAGATGTTCTCATATATCATTCAAGATGAATTAAACAAAGGGAACCCAAATTCATGAAGATCCTGTGACAGCAATGATAAGGAAGCATATAAGAGCTAGAAGTTCGAATTATTCTTCTCAGTGTTTGTTCTAAAATAAACAAATGGTGTTTTGGTGCTAGCAAGGGTAGTAGATAATTGAGATTGCCTTATAACTTTGATTATTCTAATGACATGAATTTTTTTGTATCAATCACTCTTAAGACTTTCACCCTAATCCACAGCTTAGTGAAATTTTAATCATGTTTAGAAACTATAGATAACAGTTGAAGAACAGAAAAATAATTTTGATGGGTTACAACATTTGTAGCTGATATTCCACATTAAAGTTTGAAAATATCTTCAGACATCAAATGAAAGTGAAATAGTATCACTTTATGTTACGCAATATAACGCTATTATTTACCGTACTACGTTTCGGATAGAGTTTACTGTTCAAAGTAACTTCACAACTTTGAGGTAAGATTTGTAAACTTTTAATTGTTTTGACTTCGTTGGAGTAGGAACAAGACATGTATCAGCGAAGAAATATTTCTTTTCATTGACATCATTATCAAGTTGTACAGTTATATTTATAATCGGTAAGATGAAGGATAGTTGCACTAAAACGTTGCTCAGTCAATATGCAAAGTATACAATAGGTGTTGGTTAAGTTATGTCATTTTACAGATTATAGATACTACTGTACAGCTTGATAATGAAGTCGTTTCTTCACTGACACATATCTTTTTCGTACTCATGAATAAATGGGCATATTTTGTCACTTCTTTGGAATTAAACTGTTATAATTGACGTTACTGTTATCAGAAATGTGCTTTTTTTCCATAGCAAAAGAAATTAGTTTTTGATTTATGTATTGGTAGGTGAAACACTTGATCATTCAATTTTGAGATTTATGGGGATTTATTTACTGATTTCAGGTTGATATTCATCATAGACCGATATCAGTTGAAGAAACATTGGAAACCTGGGAGCGAAGAACACGTGTCTTGTTCAAGTACGCTCCGGTCTCTGGCGGGGTTACAGGTTTGTAATGGTGAGGACTGAAATATTAGGATGAAACAAATGTACACTGCTACCAGGTTTCCAATGTTTCTCTAACTGTTATCAATGCATGCTGAATACAATCTGAAAGCTTTTATACTTTGATAGTATTCAATAGTGATGAGATACTTAGATCGCAGCATGGATTGTAGTCATGATATCAGGGCAATCTTATGCATCTTTTGTTTACAGTTATAAAAGGGTACTTAACTGCTGTTTCAGAAATACAAATGGTGATAATATTTCTTGTTACTTACCTGCATAGGGTTTCAGAAACTTACTCTTCAACTGAGCTGTCTGTTGATCAACAAATGCACCATATTTATGAAGTATTGCAAATGTAATATAATCTTGCAGCTCACTATAATGTTTTAAACAAAGACAAGGAAAAGACATTTACCGATAATGACAGTTAGGTGGACATTGCAAACGAGTATGTAATTTAATTAGACGATGAACAATTCTATGATACTTTCTTGGATTCATATGTTAACCAATTCACTAATGAACCTGTTCTCCAGTAGAAAATTTCGTGAAATAAATGACACTCTTAAAGATGTACAAAGTGATTTTCTATCAACCAAATATAGCACATGAGTTGAGTAAATCTTCTAACAGAATGTATGGATAAAGAGTAATAACCGGTGATGATACAGCAATAGAAAATGAAGAATAACGTCGATCTTGCAGACTAACCGAAAATTTAGAATAGAAAGTGAATTTTTAAGTTGGCTTTCATCATGGACTGACATCAGTTGAAGGTTTCCAATGCTCTTCCAACTGATGCCAGTGCACAACGAAAACCAACTTAAAAATATCTCTAAATCCCCACAAGCCCTCGAAATTCAAAAAGTGAATTCTTACCAATTTAAAATTACCATACAACTAAGTTTAGCCTTGTGAATTTAGTTCTGTTAAGAATTGAGGATATCACCCATGCAATGTGAACAAACCAACATCTCATGCTAGGAACTAGAATTAGACATGTGTATTACACAGATAGGTGCATGATGTTGTAAGCCTTGTCTATACTTAAATCAGTTAGTTTCCTGTTCGGATATTAGTATGTGATATTCTTTTCACTTATAGAAATCATCTCGGCTTGAAGCCATTCCCGTAAGAATGATTACACTATTTAATGATCTATGCATACTCAGATTGAAATATCAAGTGAAATGCATTGAACAGTGTTGGTGATAGTAGCACTTCTCAGTTGGGAATCTCCAATTCAAACCATTACAACTTCGGGGAGGTGGGATAACTAAAAGTATGTATTTATAAAATAATTGAGGGCTGAAGTAAAAAACTTTTAGTATCTAGTGCCACCAACAGGTGTTTCTAGTAAGCTTATTACATAGTGAAATCCAAAAACGTTTATGTCCCCTTGAAATGAATTTATTACTTAAAGGGTCTGTAAGTGAACTAAGATTAGGCTTGAAATAATTAAAATGATTGCAAACTTATTCCTCGCAGCAATCGGAGGACAAATTGACGCCGGTTGATGAAAGCCTTCGAGAAGACAGTCGGCTAACATATCTTCTCGCTCTCAATAAAAGCAAAACTAAGAATGGGGACATGGAATGTCCACACCATGTATGAACCTACAAAGGCTGCCCAGATTGCAAAAGAGATGAGAAGATATGGCATGTAAGTGCTTGGAATATGTGTAAGCGGATGGAAGGGAAGTGGACTCACCAAACTCTTAACTGGAGAGTCAATAATATACTCCGATATTGTGACCCAGACGACAACCAGGAGCACACTGAGTTTTTGAGTGGTTATCATGATTTCCTCAAGAACATCGAAGAATCTCTCTCATGCAGTGGGAACCAATCTCCTCCTACTGGATGAGGATCATGATAGCAAGAAGGAAGGAAAGTCGAAATCATACAATGGCAATGCTACCACATACAAATAATGCGGATGAAGAGAGGAGGTATGAATTCTACAGACAACTGCAATCAGTAGTGGACAAGACCCACCACAGTTGGCGACATAAAACTTGTGATGGGTGGAGTGAGATGAATGCCAAACTGGGACGGATAACACAGGAAGAGAACTCATCCATCATTTGTCGAGAAGCACTCAGTGAAATGATCGAGATTGGAGAACTGTTTTCAGATTTCTGCACATTCAACAATTTAGTGATTGGTGGCAGTGTGTACAAACACAAGGGTATTAACAAAGCAACATGGATTTCACCAGACATCAGACACACTAAAAATCAGATCGACTTCATCTCAATGTGAAGGAAGTGGAGATGCAGCCAGCGTAGTAGACACAAAATCAGAGCAGATGTAGGTTCACACCACTCACTGACTAGTGCAAGGAACATTCTAAATCAAGTTGGAAACCTTTAAGGATGTTTACAATGAACCACAGTTCAAGTTGAACACTTGGAACAGAAACTGAAGGACCGAACTAAAAAGAAAATCCTCACGTCAGCCATCAGAACAAAATGGGAGTCATTGAGCAACATTCCTGAAGTATAGAGCACGTGAGAAAACTGAAACTCTTTGAAAGCTGTGTGGAAAGAAAGCTGCATAATCGTATTAGGAAGAAATAGGAAACAAGACAAGGAATGGATCTCGACGGACACATAGAAGCTGATAGAGGAGAGGAAGATGGTGAAGCAGAAGATGAACCAGTGCACTGAAGGAATGAGTACACCGTATAAAACACTTGACAAAGAAATGAAGAAGAGTGTGTGGGAAGACAAGAGATACTTCTACAACAAGCTTGCATATGAAGCAGAACAGGCTGCAGGTTAGAGGGACAGTGACCTGACAACATCATATCAAATAACCAGGTTACTACCTGGGAGGGAAGAGATCGACTCAGATGAAACCAATGAAATATAGTGAAGGAAATATAATTATCAAAGAGGAGAAACAAAGGAAACAATGGGCTGGCCCTCTCAAAATACTGTTGAATCGACCACAACCGGCAACTAGACCAAGAAATATTACCAGCAATGGCAGAACTACCAGTGAACACACGCCCCACGAAAAAAGCAGAAGTCCTGAAGGCCATTGAACTGCTGAAATTCGGGAATGCAGCAGGACCAGAAGGGATCACCTCAGAAGCACTTAAAACCTACTCAGAGACAACAGCGGACATGCTGATATCACTACTGCAGAATGTTCGGAAAGGAGGAAGGAAAGGTACTCACCGGTTGATTGGAAGAAGATCTATCTTGTCAAACTTCCAAAGAAGGGAGACCTAAGCATTCGCAAAAACTAGCGCGGAATCATGCTGTATCCCTTTCCATCCCAAGCAAAATATTATACAGCATCATCCTGTAGAGACTAAATGATGTGCTGCGTTCAAAATTACCATCGGAACAGGCTGGCTGGCTGGCTGACTTCAGGTAGAACAAATCATGTGAGGATCAAATTGCAACGCTACACTGCGCATCATCATAGAACAGAGTATATAATGGCAGTCAACTCACTACCTCACCTCAAATTCATCGAGTTTGGAAGGGCCTTGGACAGCATTGACTGAGAAGTAATTGGGCAGGCAGGTGCTTCAACAATACGGTTTCACTTCCACAAATCCTTATCAACCTCATTCAAGTGCTGTTTAACGATGCCAAATGCCAGGTGATCCACTGTGGAAAGCTCAGTGAATCCTTCAGAGTGAAGACAGGAAGGAGTAAGACGGGGCTGCTGTCTTCTATCACTCATGATCCTGCTGATTGTGGTCAACTGGACGGGATCATGCAGCAAACCGAAAGGAGCGAGAAGATGTGCATACACTGGTTGGAGCGATGAAAAGACAGCAAGACAGGCCTTCAATAATCTGAAATGATCAGTGTGGAGATCTACTGCACTGCACCGCACCGCACTCAGCATAAAGCGTGGACAAGATCCGGATTTTCAACACCATTATCAAGTCAGTGCTTCTGTGTGATGGTTGAGAAACTTGGCGCGTCACGAAAAGCATTTCCAACAAACTACAACATTCATCAACAGCTTCCGCCTATGCTGGCTCGATACAGAAGATCAGATAGATGGCGAGAATGATAAGAATAAGCAATGAAGAAGTCTGTGAATAAGCCAACGAATAGAGAACCTACCATCCAAGAAATATGCAGAAGAAGGAAGTGGAGATGAGTTAGATTGGGCACACACTGAGAAGGCCGATTGGGCATATTACATACCAGTCCAGTCGGTTGAGTGGAATGCGAAGTGGAAACGACGAGTTCGGTGTCCAAGGTGAGAGTGACAGGGAGGAGGTGATGTGAGGAAGAAATGAGAGCTTTTGGGCAGTCGTGGTGCCAGGTTTAAAAGACTGCAGAGGAGAGAGTGCACTGGAGGCGTGCTACTGTTACACTAGGGATACATGGGAAAATTAATGGTAATAAATAGTTTGTTCGAAGCAAGTAACACCCCTTCAATTGACAGAATATGTAAACACAAGTAATAAACAAAGTAACTAATAAACTACTCACCTGAATGATGTTTGTTGTAGCATACGACCTAATTTATCATAATAATCAACATTCACAACCCAGACTTGCATATCTCTTGGCATCACAGTCAAGTGATTCCATGAAGTTAGTCTACCCAAATAACGTGGAAAGTTAATCTGATTAAGAAACAATGTCAAACACAGTCAGAAAGAAAAAGGTCAGTAATGACTTTAATTTAATGAAAATAAAAGAATACTAGTATTACAGCATATATTTTCGATTGTCTTGAAGTCAACATTATCAATGTTCTATGCAGTAGAGAGTTAACAACAATTTTGGATGCATATATATCTTGAATAAAATTGATCTCATTAATACTACTAGACTGATAACTGGTGAATATTTTATAGCTAAATTATAAAACTGTGCAAGTGTCTGTCTGGAATATGTTCGGTACCTCATTACAGTGACTGGATCACTGTACTGTGTTGTTCTGTAGTTGAATTTGTACTATGTCTTAAAGGCGGTTAGTTCCAACGGGATACTTTGTCATAGACAGAAGACGAATCCTACTGTTAGATATTATCATGTGACATTAAACTAACCTATATGAAATTCATGAACTAAATGTCACCGAGATGTCTGTGGGAATTTATGCACGGAAATCATTAATCTCTGAGGATTATTATATTTTGTGTATTTCCTAATACTCTACAAATCGAATTAATCAAATAACCAGTAGGAATAGTAAAATCTGCATGATTTATATCGATAATTAAATGACTAGAAAGTTTAGACTTGATAGGTCTGAAGTCAGTGGATTCGATTTTTAACTATAGATTCAAAATTGGAAGATAATTAGGTTTTATTTGGGTATTTAAGTGAATTACGAGAGATATTTGGATAGACTTCTTGACGGAGACCGAATTATGTCAAGGATAAACATGACTGATTGTGACTTGTCTTAGAAAGCTGAATTATCATTATCAGTTTGTTTTTTATATCACTCATCACTGTAAAATTTAAACTGATATTAGTATGTTTTTCATCGAGATCAAAATATGAATAGCATCATAAAACCCCAAGAGAACTAACTAAAGATTTACTCTTGGCTATTTTATTCTGTAAATATGCGTTATTGTACTTGGTCTTAAGTTGTTTTTGACTTAGACAATGAGGAGGAAAGACATCATTTTCGGTATTCTGTTTAGCGGCAATGATTCAGTTTTAGAGTACAATTGGCTTGCCTTAACTTACCATCAATTCTTTTGATATTCATGATTTGGAATAAGAAAAGTTTATGGATTTGTGAGCTACTGTAAATTTTTAGATCTAAAGAAAATTCTTAGCATCAGTTAGTGTCACTCATCTGATGACTTCTAGGGACAACATTTAGGTTGAACTTTAAACGAGTAAACAAGTTTGATATGCAATTTATGAAATAACTCTTTTTCGGATGATATCGAGTCATTTCCACTAAAAACTGTATGTCTACAGAAGTCAGTTATTTCTATCCAGCATTGGAATGGGGAAGAAACCAACAATTCATACTAGGTGCAAGAATGGTGGCTCTCGGACTTAGTTACCAAGTGGATAACGCTGTGGCTTTTCAGGTGATGGGTTTGGTGATTGCATCTCAATGGGAAAACCATCATTCACTGGAATGCAGGAACATTCAAACTACAAGTCCCAAGTGGGATGGTATGTACATTCCTTATTCCACTGTTGGCTATCATAAGAGAAATTATAACACATTTGACAATCTTATATTGGCAGTAGTTCTTCAGGAAAAAAACAGTCATAAGAAGCAGCCTTAAGGTGTCACCTTGGAAGGTGTCAGGTAACCTCTTAGTGTTTACATCATCTTTATTTCTCCAGTGTTCATTAACTATCCATGAAAGTCTTTGGGTGGATCATATTTTGAATAATAATGGCATGAAGTATATCACGGTTTCTAACCACTGTCTTCTAGTTTTTGACAGTAGACACTACAAATATTTCACTTATGTGTATTATTCTTACTCTGAGTTTTGAATCACCTGCTATCGATAGTAGTTAGCTGTGTTAGTCTGCAGATTAAAATGCTCTAAGCCATCTTCTTTCATGATGCGAATTGCCTACATTTCGTTCTTCTGTGTTACTGCGAAAAGTGTATCACTTCAGCTTCGTCTAAGGTACTCGGCTTATAAGGAACACACTGTCTTTAACCAACAACTCAGTTATTACAGAAGGCTATAAATTAAATGTCATAATAAAATTGTAATGAAGATTAAAAGTTCACTTTATTAACTGAATTGAGCTATACTTTATATTTTAATTATTCCTGTACTTTTAATTACAGATAATGGAAATAGTGAGATATAAAAAGGTCCGAAATCATTAAAATATATTTTTGACTAATGAGTACGCGTAAATGGGCTTCGGCGTGATAATGACAATTTACAGAAAAAAAAAGTTTATCAATTACTGTTATTATTACTTTTTTGAATGATTATTCATTTAGTTATTTGAAGTATTTTATTGAGAAAAAAGACAAATATGTCCTTTAAGAAATTAGGAAAGAAAAGCATAGAGTAAGGATCATCAGTTAATAGTAGTTACAAACCTAATTATAACGATATCTATAATTTTTTTTCATGATATTTTTATATGAAGTTTTGACCTTACTTCCTGTCAATCATAAAGTTATTGAGTTGAGTACACTTTTGTCTACTTACAACTTCATCTAGATCCTATTTCTGAAGTGTTTTGAAGAGGTATTATATGAAAATATTTGTTGTTATCTAGTTTTACTAAAAATAGACCCGTAAGCTTCCGTTAACTACTGACTAATCGTTATAATTATGTATTAAATAGTGGTTTATTTGTCTAACGTAAGAGACAGACTGGTCGAAATCAAAAATGTTTCGCACACTAGTTCATTAAAACTTACTTAGACAGTAATAAGTTACAGGATTTTGTTTTTGCATCCATTAGTTTTAAGCTTATGTGTCTGAATATCTATGCCAACAGATAGACTAATATCGTTATTTAATGTTAGATATTTAACGTCGAACGGTAGAAATTCCTGATTGACACAAAGTAGCCAGATGAGTCTTTGATCGTGAGGAGAAATGATTTTCTTCTAGGCTTCATTGTTTGTTGCAAACGTAAGGCTCACAACATCTAACACTAAAATACACTACATTGTCACATCATTTCGTCTTGTGGCCATATTACATACTTCATCAGTATTAAGAACTAGGCGATTACATTGAATGACTTCTGGTGACCAGTTTGTGTGCTAGGATTTTAGGTTATTTTAATTTATAGAAAAACGGAAAGCTTAGCTATCGATGCTTTAATTCCTTAAACTGGAAACTATGATGGTGAAAAATGACCAAATATGGAAGATATTAAGTTCAATCTAAGATAGTTACTCTTAGTTTGTAAGAGTTTCATCGACACATAAGAATGTACTTATTTAATGCCTTAAGACTGGAATATTTTCAGTAACCTAGATCAAAGAAAGCATAAGACAATCTCACTGCAAAGAATTCCATTGTTTAGCGCCAGATATCTTTATAATGTAGCAAGTGAACAAAATATATCCTGGTTTAAGAAACAGTTATAACTACTAGTTTTAAGAGAATAATGATGATTCCGTGAAGCAAATGACTGTTGATGACTGGTAGGGTATTTTTCAAAATTGAATGAAAAATTATTAGTCTCAACCTAAAGTGACAAAAAGCTTTCAGACATTAATAATTTCAAAAGATGTATCAAAATCTTGTAGAATATCGAATCTTTATTATTATTCATTATTCGTCCCTTGGGTCCCTAATGGAACACAACGCTTCAGTAGCACGTCTCCAGTGCACTCTGTTCTCTGTGAACTTTACAACCTGGTTCTACGACTGCCCAGAAGCTCTCATTTCTTCCCCGAATGATCTCCTCCATGTCACCCTCGCCTAGGACGCCCAACTCGTCGCTTCCCAGCGGGGTTCCACTCGAGGGCCTGGCACGTGATGTCCTCAGTCGGCCTTCCCAGTGTATGCCCAATACATCTCCTCTTCCTTCCAATGCATATTTGTTGAGTGATGGGTTCTTGGTTGGTTCGTTACGAGGCCACAGTTCCTTGTTGCTTATTCTTGTTATTCTGGCAATCTGAGTTTCAGTAATGAGCGTAGGCAGTTGTTGGTGAATGTCTGTAGTTTGTTGGAAATCCCTATCATAACGCGCCAAGTCTCTGAACCATACAGGAGCACTGATTTGACGTTGGTGTTGAAAATCCGGATCTTGTTCTTTATGCTGAGTGCAGAAGATCTCCAAGATGATTTCAGATTAGTGAAAGCCTTTCTTGCTTTTCCAATCCTGCTTTTGGCATCCTAGTCTGTGCCACCTGTAGTTGAAACAACGCTGCCTAGGTAGATGAAAGAGATAATTTCCTTCAGGTTTCTCCCTTCGATGGTGATTGGAGCTTGTTGTTGTTGGTTGGGTAACTTCATCACCCCTGTTTTCTCTACGTTCACTTGAAGTCCCGTCTTTGCTGCCTTTTCTGTCAACTTGTTAGTTTTCGTCTGTAGATCGAATCTTTACTTTATACTTATTTCATGTTAGACATTATGAACTTAATATAAGAATTGAAAATAAAACTATGTCCATATCATACTTAAGGAATGTGTTGAAAAGAAATGTGATTATTTTGTTTTCGAAGAATTAGAAGTTGTTCCTGAAGCGTTTTGGGGTTATTGTTGATAACAAGTAAGAGATTTTTAAAACTCATATGGTCTAGCTGAATGTACATTTACAGGTGATGTGTCTTTTCAGTTGAATCTTTTTGTCACTCATCAGTGGCTTGATATGAAAAGATACTATCAGTTTAATATTCAGAATAATAAAGCTTACAGAACATTATTTAAGTGGCTTTATATTAGAGTATTTTTTCTTACAATGATGCTTCATTGATACACTAAAGTATAAGTAGATATAAACAATAGAATTGAGTAGAAAGCATATTTAAAACAAACAGTCTAAACATGAACTGAAACCGTTTTAAAAACTAGTCAGTAAACTCAATATCTCAAGTTCTACTGTTTCAGGAAATCTTCTATGGACTTTTATATGACGAACTAAAAGAAAGAACATTACAATGACTTTTCATCATATTTAATAGCTTCTAAATTCTGAACTAATA